TTAATTTTTTTTTTTTTTTTTTTTTTTTTTTTTTTGTAGTTAAGAAAGCTTTTTGTATGGTACGTTTGCCGTGTGTATCTGTTGAATGTTATGTTGTTATGTGCCGTTTCCTTCTTCTTTTTGGAGTTTTTCACATGTATATTTTCAGAATCTATAGCGTTTTGAAATTTGCGCGTCAAATATTTGTACTTATCGGTTCACCTTCATAGCATCCCGAGTCCATATGTTTAAATCTCAATTTACCTTCAAAAACTAGTGGGGACAGAGGGACCTCATCTTCTGCCTCTCAATTATCGATGTAAGACCTTCAAGAAAGAGAAGTGGGGACAGAGTGGATGGTCTGTGTTCTGCCTGCTGGTTCCCCACTCTGTTTATATGAGGATGAAGGTAAAGGGTGTGTTTAGCAATCCGCCCAAAAGAGGATCAACGCCTACTTCTATCCTAATCTAGTTCAACTTTGGACTAAAAGAGCAATTGGGTAGTGCTCGTTCAGTGGCTAAAATTTGGACTGCAAAAAAAATTTAGCCAATTTTTTAGGTCTAATTATTTGCCAAACAAGAAAGAACCAAAACTAGGTTAGGTGTAGTCTTGATCTAGTATTAAATGAATGCTAAATGCATCCTAAGGGTTAGTTTAACAGCCACTCTGAGCTAGATTTATGCAACATTAAATTTGAGCCAAGTCATAATCGTTGTTTAGCAACTTTGCAATTTGGATTTAATCTAGTTCTAACTTGGTCTGATTTTAGCCAACAATTAGACTAGGACAAATCTAAGGGGTGGTGGTTTGAAATAAATAAAATTATGTTTGACCAGAAAAATATTACGAGAAAGGGAAAGGGAAAAGATCCCAATTAAATCTAACTCTAACTTGAATCGAAATGAAAGGTAACTAAATCTCGGTTGAGATCAGTTATAACTGAAAATATCAGAAAACCCCTCTTAAGTTTGAACGACTGTTAGAAAAACCCTCATAACTTTCGAAATATCAAAAAAACCCTCTTTCAGTGTAGGGGTCATTAAAAATTCTCTTTAATTTTAAAAGTTTATAAGAAACCCCACAAAAGTGCGAATCACAATTTCATTAAAAAAATATCTCCCACCATGATGTTATCCACCAATGTGAAAAATTGCAGTAATAGCTGTTGGTGTTTTCTTTACTCCATAGAGTCCAAAAGTTAAAGTTGGCTTTTTGATAACCCCTAAACTTAAGGGAAGTCTTTTGATATTTTGAAAGTTATGGGAGTTACCTAATAATTGTTCAAACTTCATGGGTCTTTTCTAGTATTTAGCCAAAAAAGCTTAATTGAAGCCAAACAGGCCTTTTACAAGTTTTGTGATATTTTTCGAAAGCATGGTAGAACTGGTACTAATCTGGTTTAATTTGCAAATTGCAAAACTGAACTGGATAGATTCCAAAAGGCTTAATTACGCTTACATGCCATACAATTTCCCCTACTTTGCACTTATACACCCTTGTTTTTGGTGCACTTGTATGTCGGATCTTGGACGCAATTCTAGAGGGGGTGAATAGGATTTCCTATTGTTTTTCAAGATATTACAGAATATGCAGCTGAATAAAAACAATGATAAGCAAAACAGTAAACAATGATAATCACAGAAAATAATTATTGTTTCGGGTTTTTTTTAATATTGCAATTATATCAGATTATAATAGAAAGAATAAAAATAAAACCAAAGAAAATTTTATTTTTTCTGGGAGTTCTTTTCTGTGTGCCAATGGAGCATCGATCTGTATTCCGTTGACGCACCGATGAAGACTTAGGGTCTTTTGCTGTGGGTGCAAGCTTAGTGGTTCGGAAGATAGCCTAGTCTTCTATTGACACTTTCACTTGATTGAATTGCCAATGCGACGATAAGAATCTCTCTCTCCGTGTGAATTGATCTCTCTGGGATTTGGTTTGATCTCTTAGATGGATAGACCTTAGATTTTTTTTTTAATTCTCGAATCCTCTTTGAATAAATGATCTCCTCTCCTTTTATAGACTAAAAGAGAGAGTTAATGACCCCTTAATTATGGATTAAGCGATTATTAAAGTAGCAGATAATAGGGTACGGTTATTCCTCAAAGTAGCTCATAAAATGGCTATCTGGCGAGCTTCATTAGCTTGGTGAAATTCGCTGAAGACGTGGGCGGATGTCACTGAAGTCGTGAGCGAGGGTCGCTTTGGACGTGGGCGAGTCTTCTTCAAAAGTGGATGACCTAGTCCACTTGAGTTGACGTGAGCAGAGTTCATTAGTTGGCAAACTTCACCTATGAGTTTGAATATAACATCGAATTTGGTCAACTGATGACGCCTTTCGACTTGGTCCGGGGCGTGTTTTGGAGTCAACTCACTTTTGATTTGGTTGAGTCGAGTCGATATGGGCTGTTTGGCGATGTTCGCTTCAATAATCAGGCGATCTTTGCTGCAGCTTGTTGTGGGCTTGATTTTGGACCCATTTGAAGTGTTTAGCCTATGAGCGTTTACTTCTTGGATCCAAGCTGATCATTGACCTAAGTGAAAATATATTTTGATTGTTTACAAGACCCCCTAAAGTTTTGAAGATCATGTGTTTCGATTTGTAGCTATGATTGAAATACTTTGGGTAAAATAGCTAGAGGTGTATTGTTAAATATTGCTTGAATTGTCTTGTGAAACTTGTCTTCATTTGCCTACTTGGTTGCCAGAGGTGTACTATTGAACGTAGCTTCCTTGGTTGTAGACTTGTATTGAAGGTTCAATGATGCTTGTACTCATCCAAATCCATGCTTGGAACGAAGTTTACCTTTTCTATTGTTGAGGCGACGCTGGAAAATCAGCGAATTTTGACTGATTCTGGTTATGAGCAAAGCTTGCTCAATTTTGGGCTGCCGGTCGAAGTTCGCTGATTAGCAACATTCGCTAGCTGGCAAGACTTGTTTTACTCTGAGCTGTGTTGGCGAAGATCGTTGATTGGTGATGTTCACTCGTTGGCGAAGTTTATTCGGAGCGAGATTCTAGGTGAAGTTTGAGGCTAGAATTTTTGGCGAAGTTCGGGACGAAATCTTCGACGAAGTTAAGTAGCAAGATCTTTAGCAAGGTTTAGTAACAAGATACTCTACGAAGTTCAAGGTGAAGAATCTTCAGCAAAGGTCAGGGCTGGTCTATGAATAGACTATTTGCCTTTTTCAATGCATGTACGATAGAGATGTAATATTAACGTATCGTAATGACATCTTTGCTGGGGAGTGTTTGCGTCGAAAGTTAGTTTATTTGTTGAATCCATTACACGTTTATCAATTACAATGAATTCAAAGGAGTTAGTCTTTTTTAAGACTTCTCGCTTACACAAATAAAATGAAAATTATAACTCTATTCAAACACACGCAAAGAACGTTTATCACCCGTTGTTTGCGTGGGATCTTTGCCTGTGCCAGGGACGTATTAGTCCGTGGATCATCACTGATCAGATCCGGTTGACAAAACGAAAATCAATGCTCTTGCTTTACAAAGGAAACAAATACAGAAGTGATAATCTCAACCAAGTGAGATTACGACTCTTCTCAAGATCAAAACCAAGTTTGATCTGAAGGAAAAGGGAATGAGCCTCAGATCTCTCGAACTCTCCCTCTTTATGCTGAAGAAATTCACTAAGATCTGATAGCCTCTCTGAAATTCGTGATTCACTCTTCAATTTGACAGCACCTTGCCTAAATTTCAGATCCCCTGCGTATAGGACCCTAGGCTTGTATTTATAAGCTTCAGATGCAGCACTTTACGATAGAAATTAATGATTTGACCCTATCCTCAGTTAATAACCAATTAACCACATTTAGAGATAGTATCAAAGTAGTTGGGAGATTCTAAAATGAACAAATCCTGAGAAAAACCATCGAAAAATGAGTTTTGGGCACTTCTGGACGCGAGCCACCCTACGGTGGCTCAGAACTGTGCGAGCCACTATGGGGTGGCTCGGCCTTGGCTGAGCCCACCCTACGGTGGCTCAGAACTGTGCGAGCCACTATGGGGTGGCTCGGCCTTGGCTGAGCCACCTGGCCTTGGCCAAGTTGTTTTGATGCGACTCGACCTCTAGGGTTTTTCAGTTTTGGTCTTGTTTCGCCGTTTTGTGCATTTCGTCGTTTTGTTAACTCGTACGCTTTGTTGACTTGCTTCATGCACTCGTTAGCTCTTTTATGGCATCGGATAATCTTGTTTGACCTAGGTGATAGTGTTTATCGCCTTCTCTTCATTTTGTACCGTGTGCGGGAACCTATATGCGATTTTTGATGCCTACAGGGAGAATGATGCTGGGATTAAACTGACAGAGATGTAGTGTTAACATAACGGTTTGATCAAGCTAACACTATTTAGAGGTGTAATGTTAACATGATAGTATAAGGATATTTGACAGAGGTGTCGTGTTAACCAGTCAAATAGAATGACTGACTGAGTTATAATGTTAATCGGTCGGTTCGAAAGAGTCCAAAGGACGACTACAATTTGGAAGTGTAGAGTTAACTTAACGATAGAAAATCAATGGAAGTGTAATGTTAACTGATTGATTTTTAGTAAGAGCTAATTGACAGAGGTGTAGTGTTAAGCAGTCAAATTTGCTAAGATAGGTCGATAGAGGTGTAATGTTAACCGGTCGACGAAATAGTCTGACAGATGTGTAATGTTAAACAATCAGATCGTGAGAATCTGTTCAGAGGTGTAATGTTAATATGACAGTTTGATTGAATTAAAACTTTTAGAGGTGTAATGTTAACATGACAGTGATGATGTATTTGGAGTTAAGCAGAGGTGTGATGTTAA